TAAATTTTTTTGGACACTTAATGTGTAAAGAAATAATAATAATGTAATTGTTTATTAAAAGCTTATACTATTCCTTTTTTTGTCATCCTCTAAAATTAAAAGTCGTGGTAAAGGTAGGATCCGAACCGACGTCTCCTAGCAAACCGTGCCAAAAAATTTAAGTACAACAATATATTAACAAGTAAATACATATTAACAATTCTGAGTCACCCCCTTCGTGTGTAACGCAATTAAGTTAACATATGTACATACATCCACTGCACATACGGTGTTTAGTGATATGGAATGATAAGTTAGTGATTTATAAACACCACCATAACCTGAAAAGATACGCCACTGACACACACCATTTATATTGTACATTACAATACAAATACTTAACATGAACGCCATGTAACACATAGGTACAGTAATGCGATAAATTTATTACAAACATCGTAATAAAAACGATTAGGTATGTCAGGAACGTAGCATGTGTAAGTCCGTAGTATCGGTCTACTTCTATAGGTGTATGTATTCGTACACTTAGCATAATAAAGACACACGTGATTATAAATTAACCCGTCACGCCTCACAGAGACACACAGTAAACCTGGCGATTATGGTTTTATTTTTTATATTTACAAATAATTGTCTAAATTTGTAATTTTTTCTGTGCGAATTAAATAACTAAACTTTTTACACAAATTTTCAGACATTTTACGTGTTACATTCGAAACGCTGTTATAGAACAGTACAATGATCAAGAAAATGAAATAACATTCGACTTGTCTTTATTACCAATAATAATCATTATACTGAGCCGTCCGCATACAGAGGCTGAAGATTTTTAATTAAATATAAATGAAACGCAAACTTATAAGTGCTATGCTTTCATGTTGCGAAACGTTTCGTAAATAGGATGTCATTTCAGTGTCCTATTCAATATCAGACATTATTAGATGGCGTACGTTCTGCTTTACAAGTAATAACACTCCAGATTATTTTGTTTTGTGAAGGAAATGTTTTTTCTTTTTATTTGAATATTATATTAATTTCTTTGCTCAGCAGTGGGACAGTATAGGCTCATAAAAAAAAATTTGAATATCGACTTTTTTAAGGTGCACAGTATAGACTGTTGAAAAATAATTCAATAAAAATAGCTACCATACCACGTACTTACCCATCCTTCCCCCACTTATTATCGTCTAAAGGCAGGGTCCGAAGAGATAGTTATCACTGATAATTGTAATATTATCATAATGTAGTTACCTAATTGGAACAATATAATGCTACCACTAGCAATGTCGTGTCGTGGCATATATTTGTATCAGAAATGTATTTAAACGTATCAAATGTAAATCTTAAAAAGTCGCTAACCAAATCGTTTTCCTAAAAATTTAAAATATTTTGAAAGAAAATATTTTTTTTCTAAGTGTTCGATCTTTGTTTAATAATTATAAAAACTAGTGGAGTAATTTCTAATTTTTTTAAAATATTTTTCAAAATAATATTTCCTGACCTTAGTAACACGATAATAATAGATTGTACAACAAGTGAATAAAACGCGTCATTTTACCCGAGACGAGTATATCCACGCGAGCCCCAAGCGAGAGTAGATACTTAAGTCGAGGGTAAAATATGTTTTATGAACGAGTTACACTCTGTTTTTAACTTCGATTGCGAGGAAATTAAACAGTAACACAACAAATACACGATTATTTAATTAAAATTGAATGTAAAATTACAACAATTAGACACGTTTCATGTGATGGTTTTTCCTTATTTTATCCACTCCAGCATAAAATCCTATTTTATGCAGCCTACACCCAGCATAAATACGAACTTCAAGAGCATGAGAAGTGAAAAAAATAAAATTTCCTTTGCAAAGTGTCTTCCATTTATATTTGCCCTTTAATGGATCAATTAATTAAATTATAGCACTTTCATGTTTTATATTACCTTAATATAATATATTTAAGCAAGATATTTATAGGCTTTACTTGCACAAAAATATTAAAAATAAGGTATGTATACATACGCCAGGTTTTCACTATAAGACCATAATATATATCATCGAACATATAACCAGAAATAGAAACGAAATAAGGGCCATCCATCCGTGGCGACTCATCAGGCAAATGGGCTTTATATCACTTTTAAATATCAACTCTCATTTGTGCTGAAATCTCAAATTAGAGAGCTGAAATAGTACCTACATATGTCTCCGTATGTTCCAAAAATATTCTGCGTTTATTGTAACAAAGATAATATCTCTAACAATGGGGGGCTGTTCCATTTGGTGGTGTGGGAAAAACAGCAAAACATCTATTTACAAAACAAACATCGTCATCGTTAATTATATATTAAATACATTGACTTTTTATGATTAAATACATAATTTTTCAATTTTCGCTCATTATAGCAAAACTCAAGTTTTAACTGGTCGATTTGTAGTGAAACAATTGACGTCACCCATTGGCGACACCCGTCAATTGTTTCCAATTCGGGCTGGCCAATGCGAGCGCAGTTGTCATCGCAATGATTTGGCAGAATAGTTTTGAAACAAATCTAAAACAAAAACAAAAAAATGTCATCAATTTAACTCTACCATTCTTATTGAGTGAGTAATATTTTGTTTCCGTAACCAGTCTACATTTTTAACATTATTCCACAATATAAATGTATTAAAAAACAATAATAACCCGTTCTTATAAACTCATAGCTACTTCCGCCAGCGAGCTGGAATGCAGCGCAAACATTTACCTAGACACGGCAAACAACAAACGTGAACTGAAAGAAACATTCACAAAAGGGTTAAATGAGACGCTATACTGGGAAACGAGAGGTGCGCATTTTGAATTCATAAGCTTTGCGCGACATTGGGGGATTGCTTCAAATACTTTTTTTTTATTAATTTTAGGTTGAAATCTCAGTTGGGAAAACATATTTTTAGGCGAGTTACCGGAGGAGAAGTGGGAAAAACTGTTTTGCTAGATCAAATGGTTTAGGTATTTCCCATTAGATAACGATGTTATAAAACATATACGATACACCTAAAGAGTCCAAAGGATATGCTAATGTTTTACACGATACGATGTACTTCGCCCAATCGCATAAAATCCTGAAAACTGGCTAAAATAAAAGTCTAAAGCGGATTATTAAAGAATAAAATATCTAACTTTGTACATAATTTTGACATGTGGATATTTCTCTTTAAGTACTACAGATAACCTGCTAAATATAGGTTTTCAGCTGAAGCCCTAGTAGTTATTAAATTTACATTTATCCCAAAATTTGCAAATTACCCGCTCACGCGATACATGCAATCGTAGATGCATACCACACCTAGAGGTGCCGGTGATGATTTTATACCGATTTATCGGATATCGAAGTTATAACAGGTAAAAGAACTAATATTAATTGCTATTTCGGTAACTACTCTAGCAAACCATAAAGTTTTTAATGCCTGGGTCTGTCATTTAAAAAAAATAAACAACTTCAAAAATACGCCACGACAATCGTGTGTGTTTATGTTTGGGCTGGTGATTTCGGTGTTTATTTATTGAAAACATACCGTAAGTAGCGTTTTCTAAGTTTGCCCTGAATATAAATGTTTATAAACTATACTTTAAGGAGTAATTCATGGTAAACGTTAGAACCACTCAAATGGAATATTATCATATTTATCCAAGTACACCAAAAATTTCATTAGTGCTTTTTAAGTGCAGGATTTGCGGTGTATTACTGCATTTTATTTGAGATGTTTTTGTTGGTAGTACAGAGGGTATTTATTTAGCAATGCAGAATAATAATTTTTATTTATAAAAACTTGTATTTAAACTGAATGCTTTTCTAATTTGCGAAACCAAACATCCGCCATTTTGCGGTAGGAGGAGCGCATCGCGTGAGCGGTTACCCAGCGGTCTAAAATTTGATCTGCCCGCTGCGCCGTCAGTCGCCATCCGGCGCTTGTCGACGCCGGCGCTTGTCACAGATCCAAATCTGTGTCAAATTTTCTTCGCCTGTTCTTATTTTATTCATATTAATTTACAGCGCACGGATCGCCCCCACACCTCAACTCCTAAAAGAGGCTCGCATTGAAATACCTCTCCTTAATACCTATGGTCATACGGAAATGTAAAGAAGCAACACTGTGAAATTCACATATTGTGAAATTGATATCAAATGCCAATGCTATCACCATATTACCATACAATTATAATGTTTGCGATTTGCCTTCTGATTTATATTGTTTGCACCTCGCTATGTGAAGCAATATCGTTAACTCACGACACCAGCCCCCGTAGTATGGCTACGCATGATAGTCGCGACGCGCGTGATAAAATTGGTATAAGCGCGTGCTATTGGCTGTCTCAGTCAGATCTAATTTAGATAGCCAATAGCGCGCGCTTATTTCAATTTTATCACGCGCGTCGCGACTATCATGCGTAGCCATGCTACGGGGGCAGGAGCCATTTTTCAACTGACTTCAAAAAAAGGTGGAGGTTCTTAATGCGACTGTATTTTTTGGTGTGTCACATGATTACTTCAACATTTCTGAACCGATTTCCATGATTCTTTTTTATTGTACCTCAGGTCTAAATCAAGTTTAAAGAAAATAGTCTTTTAATTAAATTAGGATAGAAATCCGGTTTATTGGATTTCACCCACTTTCCGTTAACCGATTTCAATAAAATGTAATGTAACATGTACTTAATGCAAATAGATATAATTCCACAAACCCTGAGGTTGAATTTTTATAAACAAGTTATAATTAAATTTTTATTGCATGTCAAAATGTTTCATTACCATGACAATTAATTATTTTTTGTGAAATTACTCCATTACTTTGTTATAATTATTTATACAAAGACGGTGACGAAATACTTTCATAAATTTCTCATAGATGGCGCTACGGCTAAAAAGTCGTTGAAAACCAAATACAAACATCGGACAACAAGATAAAGAACAAGAAGAAGAAGAAGAGGTCCGCTGAGTCGTTACGTGGCTTAGTTGGCATAGCGTCTGGCACGGTTTGCTAGGTGACGTCGGTTCGAATCCGGCCGAATCGAAGGAATTTTTTCTAAGTGATCTTTGTATTAATAATTATAACAAAGCTATAATGTTTATTTAGGTATACATTTATAACATGTTTATCTTCCGCGTACTAAAATTTATGCTACCACCTGCAAGTGCAAGCATTCGCGGACAAAGCGCTCTCCCCTCGCAAACACCAATGTATCGTTCAAATATTTGTCTAATTATCCACACGTGGTCGACTATACCAGCCACAGACATCCAGACTCAGGTCACATTATGCTTCGTTTACAGGAGAAAACTGTGTTGGTGGGGATAATGGGCGCTGTTTAGCTATTTTTGATTGCCCAACAGATTATACGATTAAAAAGAGAAATATAGGCATGAATTTTACAAGACCAGTTGATGCCCTGCGATACCATTTGGTTCTGGATAGATAAGTGTGAAGAGAAATGTTAAACAAAGTAAAGGTAACCTTTAATCAGTGAGCGCTAAAATTCATTTTGGTATGACTTCTTTATTGCATGAAGATACATTATAAGCCAATTTTCAATTTTTTTTCTCAATTTTCAATCTTTAACGTATACTTACTTAAATACAGGATGCAATTTTAAACCACGAATGCACAAGAAGACTCTTAGAACCAAAAGGTCGGATAAGGGAGCAGGTATCTTATCATCAGTATATTAGGGCATTAACTATTTTTTTACATTATTGACGTTTTTCATTAAAATTGGGGAGCGTTAATTGCTAGTATCGATATTTATCCTATGTAAATATTTTAGTTTCCACACACTGACTAGTTAATTTCGTTTCTTTTTCTCAGTTACACTCTTTTTTCCTATTCCTAATAAAAACTTGACCATTTTAATAAAAACATAAATAATCACTAAATCTACTACAATAACAAACCCATAAACATCTAACATGTTACTCTCAATCCAGCTCATACTCAAAGCTGGATTCTTCATGTAATCCGCTCCATTATTTCTAATTACATATTCAATCCAAAAAATAGCTGTATCTAGAGCTGTCATTGGCCTGTCTTTGAACCTTCTGGAAATTTCTTTCGCTTTTCTTCCATAAGATGCATTACTAATCATGTCATTAAGGGATCTTATCAAAGATTCTTCATTAATGTCGTGATACTGCAGCATTTTACCGAAACCTATGTTCTCAGCATCAAGTAAGTTGTTGTATTGATCGGCGTATATTGGAATACCCATGATTGGAACGCCGTTGAAAATGGCTTCTTGCATGCCGATCAAACCGCCATGGGCTATGAACACTTTGATGTTGGGATGAGCTGAAAAATTTCATCAAATTGATTAGACACGTTATTCGATGGAATTCTCAGGTAGAAGGTAAGGATGGGAGGGCAAACATGTGAAAATCAATTATACACGACGGTGGAAACTTCAGGTAGAGGTAATAAATTGATACAAAAAAATGTTTATTGGAAACAAACTAAATAACTTTTTTTAAATTATACTAAAAAAACACACTTAAAGGGTGTAATCATTAAGTGTGCCCAGGCGAGTATTCCGTAAATATAAGAGAGAAACCCCTTAAACTGATATCAAAAATACGTTACCTAATGAGTAAAACGACATCCATAACTTTTTTTAAATAAAACTGGAAATATCCAAAATTTAACGTTAAACGCTTTCATACATTTAATATTCGTAAAGAAGCTTCGAACAACTGCTTTGCATACAAAATTTATCAGAATCATCGCACACTTAAAGATTACGCACTGTATATATAGAAAATCACATAATACGTGTGCATGTACTCTGTTTTCTATTACTAAGTTGATGCTTTCATCAAATTCAGGACAAAGCCTCAGTATAGTGCCGTTTTCAATGTCCGCCTGTGTTTTCAGTCATTAATATATTATAAGAATTAATTCTACGTTTCAAAATAGTTAATAATAATAATAAATTTATAGAGCAAAGCCTAATAACAAAATAACTATAAAACTAACTAAAACTAAACAAGGTGAAATAAGATAAGACTAGTTCAATTCAAAACTAATTGACCACTGATAATTTTTTTTCACATTTTTTATTTATGACTGAGATTGCCATAATAGAAAAAATCTGTGTTAGGGGGGTCAAAATCCTCCTTGACAGCTTACACAACCTTGACAAACGAATACTAGTAAAAAATAGTAGCAGTATAGCTCCTTGTGCTCTGGTACTCATAGTACAGGGAATTTCCTACTTTCAGATGGGGACTATCAATTGGCGTATTATTATTTGTTTATTTTAATATTTCAAACTGATTGATAGAATTAACCGATATGATGGTTAGTTTAATCGCTAAAACCCTTCCAATACTGATTACACTTACGTATGTATATAAATGTTATTTTACAACGGTGACCATATTGCTAACAGTACAGAAAAAAAAAAAATATGCTTTTTGACAATTGTCTTAACAAAGTCCAATTTCGCTAAAGTGCTAAGTATACGATTTGGAGCTCCTTGTGAAGGAGTTCGTCCTGAGAAGTACTGTCAATTTACCCATTTCTGCCGCCGATCTTTGTGAAACAGTTCGTCCAGAGAAGTACTGCCAAGAAATAGGTAATTCTGCCGCCAATCAGTAATGTGAGCATTACTGCGTTCCGGTTTAAAAGGGTAAGAGAGTGTTGGTGAAATCACATGCATATGTGCAGTCGCAATGCCACTCAGATCTCTGTGATTTAAAGCTCTGAGTGGCAGTGCAACTGCTATGTACAAACGTATCGCTTACTTAGCAGGGGCACGACTTGGTCGTTCCGTCACTTGATATCGTAAAAAAACAAAATTTAAAAATATATACTGATCGAGTTCTTAGGTTTTCGCGATTGTTACACATAGGAAATGAAACTATTTTTCCGGATTTAAATCGCGTATTGCACGGTTGATTGTCAACCGTGACCATGGGACCTGTAAAGGGCCCGAAACGTCGGTTTGTTTGAAAAAACAAATATACGCGATTTAAATCCAGAAAAATAGTTTCATTTCCTAAATATATACTGATTTTTTTTAAATATGGTTAAAACGGTCTGCAAAACCGAAAGGCTAGTATATAATAATACTCACCTAAAATTTCCTTTTGCGGTAACCACTTTCTGATCACTATGTTGGAAGGAATGTTCGTCAAAGTGTCATCTTCCCATTTCCATATGACAGTTTGTTTTAATTCACTGAACACTTTTAGAAACGCTTGTTTCTTCGCCAGAGGTAGTTCTGAGCTTCGAACGTTGGAACCAAAATTTACGTACACCACACCATATTTAGCATTATCGAGAATTTTCTGGAAATCCTGTAATTATAATAAAGTGGAATTCATGTTAATAGTAGTACAGGCACAATGTTTCTATAGACTCTATAGATGGAACTACACATTTAATATAATCTTGACGGAAAACGTGAACTTCTTAAGCAGAGGTTCCCAAACTTTTTTATTTCGTAGACCTAGCCAAATTAAAGGTAAACGAGTTTGATTCACGCTATAATTATTTATCTTTAAAGTTCTAAATTTCGCTGAAATTTTATTGTATAAAATTTTGTTGATATGTAAGAAACTAAACACTTCTCAAATATCAACAAAAAATTGTACATATTCAAGTACCATCCCTCTTCTCGCTATTGAGAAGAAGGAATATGAAAATACATTTATACACTACCACGTAAGTCAATGACTACCACAAAAGAATTTAAAAAATTGAAGAAACGACAAAACCTTTAAAAAACAAAATTAAAACAAATTATTTGAGAAAGAAAAAGACGTATTATTTGACTACCACGAATGATACTACAGAGGTAACAAAAACAAAATTTGGAAAGCCAAACAAAAAAGAAAATAAATAGAAAGCAAAAGAATAACAAAGTACAAACAAACAGAAATATGAAAACGAAAATTAAAAATTATAAACATTACTAAAACAAAGACACTATGTGTAAAAACACTTTGCCAACTGCGGTAACTAAAAGGGCTATGAACTCTACTTGCTGTATTTTTTTTTGTCATACCAAATGACTGAACGAACAAGTTGTACGACTGGTGATAAGCGACACGCCTGTCCATAGCAGTTGCAGCGCGATTCAGAGATTTAAATCGCAAAGTTCTGAGGGGCACTGCCTCTGCGTCACCCTAAAACATAATTTGACAAGTCTCATGTGTCTGTAATTTCACAAGCACCCTTATCCTTCAAAAGCGGTATGCGGAGCAGAAATAGGTAAGGCAGTACTCCCTGGACGAAATCTGACGACAAACTGGACAAGCTCTACTGCTACATAGATCTGATATTTTTGGTTTAGCTGAGTAAGCCGTACGATACATAGTAAGCTTTTATTCTTGAAAATTCTGTTCTTGTAGTCATACTCGTCTTTTTATCTGTGAATTTAACTAATTAACAGAAAGCTATTGACACGAGCCACAGTTCAAGATGTCAAGTGGAAATACGGAGCTCTGAATAATTTGGCTAATGTTATTTGGTCAGAAGGGAGACGGTATATCAGATGCGATACTCACTATACATTATCGACTTGCACAATTAATTTATCGCAATAAAATTCTTAGTTTTGAAATGAGCGGACAAAAAAAATATTGATTTTTCAGTTCTCTTAGAGACTAAGAAAGGAAAATGTTGCGGAATATTCAATAATATATTTTTTTAAAACATCCAAAATATTAATGGCTCTCTGGAATATTCGACGTTACATATTTGTAATCGTTAGCCATTTTTTTCTGTTTTGCATAAATCCTGCCTTTCATATTTCCCTGCCTTTGAAATACATATTTTTTTACAAATTTATTAACTTCAAATGTGTTTTTAACTGCTGACACAGTGCTAATCACTTTTTTATTTTTCTATTTGAGGAAACAAACAGTCATGAACAGACACGTAATAAAACAAAATTGAAATGCATACACACCTAGAGTTTCATTAACAAAAACTAAAATAAGATAATGAGCGAAACATCATCACAAGCAAAAAAAAAAGAAGAATATTATAAAAAATTTGAAAAAATAAAAACGTAAATAATTAATGCTACTTAAATACATGTAAAAGTACACTAAATTTTATACTAAATAATTATATCATTAGTTTTTTGTCGTTAAAATAAAGTTCTCTTACCCTTACCCTATAACCTTGTGAAGAAATGCCAAATATGTCTATATGACTTAAATTTTCATTATAAAAATCCAAAGAGCTCTTTGATAAGTTTATATAATGAGAAACTTTAAAAAACACACGTTAAGTTTTATTCATTTATTGAACCGAATATTCGTTTGTTTTGAAATGTTTACTTCATTGGTAATTTATAAGAAATTACTATGTATGTACAAAGGTACTATCTGTATAATGTGGATTATTCCATTTATGGAAAGCCATAATGCTGTCACGATCTGCCTAAATGGGTACCACTCTCGTGGCCACCCACTAACGTCTCAGGCGCTGAGACTTTAGTGTAGACACTTTTTCGCTGAGAAGAACCTCTATTAGGTTTGAATGGATCCCTGGGTGTCAATATTTTCCCAATAGATTCCCAAAGTGGTTTCACTTTGGGAATCACCGTTCTCATCATATAATAATCAAATAGCAAATACAGGATAGCAGTTAGTTAATTAATAAATTATAAAGAAGTTGAACTTACTTTCGGAAGCTCCGAATCACTTTTACTCAAATGCAAACCACCGACTTCAACAATGTTAGGTAAGTAAGCAACGGGACCTTCGAAGCTAAAATGAGAGTTAATCAACAACAACGAAACGTTGCTCTGAACATCGTACAATCTGGGTACTGGTTCCGGCAAATTAGGTATATACTTCGGTATTAACGCCTCTTGCATTGGCAAGTACCAGTACTTCCACCAAAAGAATTCGTACATTACGTAATAAGCATTCCTGAATCTGCCCCAAAACGACTTTGGATCTTTTACAATTAAATAATCAGCTACAACAGTCGACAGCTGCAAAGGATTCCTCATTGCAATATTACATCTCATATAATTCCCGGATGTCGTTACAAGGACTAAAGGTGCTTGGTATTTGTGCGCCAAACTGTAGAATGCTTCTTGAAAGAACTGCTCGCCGACGACAATATCAAATTTGTGGTCCGCTTTCAGGAATTTCTGAACGTCGATTGAATTGAGCGCCACCTCGGTAAAAGCCAAACCTCCATCCCAGAGAATCTTGTTGAGAAATTCCTCGGATGATAAATCTACCATTGTGAATACGTTTGGTCTTTCCATACCTAGAACAATATGAATTAATTTTGTAACAGAAATCATTATTGAAATAAGCTACATGGTCGAGTGGCTTACGCTTGCTCGTGTGGTTTTCATGGTATCGTCGTTGTTTGCGATTTCCATAACACAAGTGTTTTAGTTACCTACTTTGGGATCAGAGCAACGTATGTCATGTTGTCTAATATATGTTAAATATAATAAGAGTTAAAAATGGAAAAGTTTAAAATATTGTTTTAATTTTCGTCAAGATTAAGTTAATATAAGAAATATGTACGTGTGTATCCATTACATGAATTATGGATCTTGAATTACTTATACATAGCACATTGAAATCAATACTGTCACCAAACGAAAAAGTCAACTTTCGGGAAATGGCGTTTAGTGCTTATGAAAATAAATTTTAATTTGAAAAAGCCAGTTTTTCATAAAGTGACGGTATGTTTTGAACGCGCTATACGTAAAGTTAGTTATTAATCAATGAACCAATTAGAAGTTCCTAGTCAAGGATTTGTTGTAAATTATCGTTGTTTTAAGCTTAGGGAAGTTACAAGACTTTCCCAACACAGCATATATTTACTTAATGATCTACCATTGTTCAACCAAATTGAGAATTAAATAAATTTTTAATTTTATTTTATTTTAAATTTCAAGGCGAATTGATATTTAAAATTTGCTATAGACATTTTTAAGTTAATTCACTGTAGATTCTACATTACGTATACAGGAACTTTAGTATTATTAATATTACGCCTATAAATACTTTGTGGTGCAGTTGAGCGCTTTAAGATTTGCGCCAGATCGATCTACCTTTCGCCTTTTGACATATTATCAAAACTAAAATAGTAATTTGTGTGCACCTACTACTAATAACTTGAACAAAGTTACTAACCATAGAAAGTTTTAAGTAATACAGATCAATTTTAAAAAACAATTTTATAAAAACTATAACTGGTACAGTCAAGAGCACGTCAAGCTTTAATGTGTACTTTCAGCGTAGTCATCATAGAGTAGGATTTAAATCTTAAGCGTCAAGCTTGACGTGCACTCGACCCCGTACAAGTAAAAAATAAACAAAAACTCGACTGCGCAAAATCAAGAGAGGAAAACTTTGTCTAGGATCTTCAAATGTTTTTCTAAATCATAAAAACTTAATCAAGTATAGTCACTAACTATATATTAATTTTATAATTCAATGGTATCTCGTGCAAAGACAAACAAAGATTACTTGTATAAGTTATGAATGGTTATACAAGTTCTGTTTGCGACACTGATAACGTAACAACATGTAAACACAGTGTAATTATAATTATACAGAGAGTTTATAGGAGGGTTGTACTATAGACAAAATTCCTCGTAGATGTATCTAGTGTAGGGTGGTGGAAACGGAAAAAACCATTTCTCACAAAAATACATTTTTATATCATAAAAGTTTTACCATTGTTTTTCACAGAAACACCAAATCAAAAATTATTTTGAAAAATTTTTATCTGAAGAATTTCAGACAACTTCCTAACACTACCTGTATCAATTTACAGTACTTTGCTTACTTACTTTTTTTTAAATTTCTTTATTTCAGTAAGGTATACACAGTAACGTACTAAACAACCCATGTGGCTGTCAACGCCAATTATTATATGCTATTTTCAGTATAAAAAATATTAATAATTATATATAGGTCTTATAATTATGATTACTCTAATAATAATGAATACACTTAATTTGGCTAATTTTAAACCCCTTATTCTTAAGCCCTCATCTTCTATATCGTCGCCTTAGAGTGAAAACCTCGCATATGCATTTTCACATTGTTCATTTTTACTGATTTTTGTTGAAGAAAATCTTACAAACTTGCTCAAATATATTGTTAAATTTATATAGCATCTGAAAGAGGTATAATTTAACTAATTAAAATTTACTTTAATACAGGTAATTAATACAGGTCCCATGGTCACGGTTGACTCAACCGTGACCATGGGACCTGTAAAGGGCCCGAAACGTCGGTTTGTTTGAAAAAACAAATATACACGATTTAAATCCGGACAAATAGTTTCATTTCCTATGTGTAACAATCGCGAAAACCTAAGAACTCGATAATTAAAATTTACTACATTTTACACCACATTTTTATCTTCGTCCAGAAAAATTACATAGAAATCACATACGAGGTATTCACTCTAAGACGACGAAGTTAAAAGAACACTTTATCAGGCTATCCTGCACCTATCAAAGCATTATATAAATCGAAATATTTTTTATATTTTACTATAAATATATTTTATATTTCTTATCACATGATAAATAATAAGAGCGGTAAAACAAGTAATATAAAAATAAAGTGTTAATTAATGTAGTAGAACACTTATTTCATAGAGGGTAAAATAAAATTTAAAACAAATTATATTACTAGCTGATCGCTAGATCGTTTACAGAATTTACTTACCAATCGTTTCCCAAATCTCCTTAAGATCGACCATAACCTCGTGATAATTTGCAGGAGGATCCTTTTCTCTGAACGGGGTTATCACAGTCACATTATGACCTCTCCTGGCCAACTCCAAACCAATAGGTCTTAACATTATATAGTGAGATTTCGATGTAAACGGTATTGAATATAGAATATTTGCACAATCATTTAGAACTATGCTTACAAAGAATACGTACAACTTGAGTATATCCTGAAAAAAAAAAACAATTATTTGGTAAAACCAATTGTAATTTATCGAGTTCTTAGGTTTTCGCGATTGTTACACGTACGACATGAAACTATTTTATAGGATCTAAATTGCGTGTATTTGTTTTTTAAAAAAAAGTTTTCGGTTTGTTGAATTAGATTACGCGATTTAGATCAGAAATTGTAGTTCATTAATAATAATTTGATTTTGATGTCAAAATAAGTAATTGGTATTGTGTGTTGAAATAAGTATTCTCCGCTCCGCGTAGGATGATTATAGGCGTTCAAATTTAATTTGTTCTTTATCAAGATATTCTTCACATAGCGCGTGCAAAACAGGAATTAATAAAAAAAATATTTTCTATACATTTATTGCGCTATATCTGATTGGTCTTGGAAACCATATATGTTTTAAAATTATATTATAAGTAACTTAATGACTTTCTAACAGAAAAACTCACCATACTTATACAAGCTCTAGAAGCGTCCGTCTAGTAAAATTTTCGAACTACACTAAATAATAGCACGTTTGTTAATACGTAACGTTGATGTACAGTCGCACATTATGGTGCTTGTCATCGTTATTACCTTTTAGGCTTGGGTGTAAAACAGATTTATAAGAATATCGATATTTCTTGATATAATCGATATATCGTCAATATTCGGCGACCTCGACCCAACGGTTTTCTCCATAGGCGCTAGATGCGGAGGTCCTGGGTTCAAATTCCGATAGAACCAATTCAGGAAATGACTGGTTCTATCGGAATTGGTTCTGATCTGAGTGTTCTGGTTAAGTTCAATGCAAACGCACGTTTACAGCAAATTTGTCACCATCCCTTCCCGTTCTTTCTCTAATGGGCACAAATTTGACGCATCAAGCAGTAACACCTGGCTCTCGTCTTCTTATTTTTCATCGAAACGGTGATTACAATAGCTTCATGAAAACTCGGAGTCCTGAAAAGGGTGCGTCGTTTCTTCACGCCTGATCAGTTATACCTGTTTTACAAAACACAGGTCAGGTGTTGCGTTGAGTATTTGTTCGCATCTCTCGGGCGGCTCAGCTAAGTACCTACTCGATGCCTTGGACAGTTTGCAGCGTCGCCACTCGCGAATTATCAGCGATCAAGAGATCTCGTCCCACCTTGATCCTCTGCAATTGCGTAGAAATGTTGCATTGCTTAGCGCCTTTTGTCGAATGTACACAGCGAGTGCTCTAAAGAAATATTCAACCATATCCCTCCCTCACCTTTCCTGCTCCGAAACACGCGTTGGCCTCCGTACTCACCGTTTTACAATTTACCGTATTCCATCGCGAACTAAATAATTTGGTGACACCTTTCTCTGTCGGACAGTCTGCAAATGGAAATCCCTTCCAGCGCACGTGTTCTGTCCTTTTTACGATATGGGGTTCTTCAAACAAGACGTGAAGAGGCATCTTGTAGGCATGCAGGGTGGAGGTGGCTGGAGTCGTGATTGTATCAACACTGCACTAAGCACCTTCACGTTTAGGTTCCACTTTTCATTTAACACCAAGTGGAGTGGAGTCATCTGCCTATCATGTAAAAAAAGTGCTCCTGAGGGAGTTCCTTTGCTCTGATACTCAGTACAGGGATTTCCTTAGTTTGAAACCAGGGAATTCATGTGGTTGTCTGTCACATTGTTATCATTATTATTGTTGTTATTATTATTATTATATTTTTAATCTCGACATACCAAATTTTTGTCATGTATCATTTACGGTATATTTTTTTGACGGACGGTCACAGCAAGTGGTTTATGATTATTTGAAAATAATATCAATGCACATTGCACATAGATTGTTAGCTATCATCTTGTAGAATAAAATAAGTAGATATATAAATTCAAAAGAGAAATATGTACCTTTTGCCAACTGCCGGTGCTCTGGGCGGAGCCTCCTAGTCCACTTAAAATGGTGATTATTTTTCCTTCCAAATGTTCCAGCAGAGAACCACAGCTGTACTTCTAATCAAACGGCCTCCGTGGTCGAATGGCTTGCATACCGGTTTTTATGGTGTCGCCATCTCTGACGTCTCAGGTTCGATCTCCGGCCGGGTCAGTGTAGAAACTAACTTTTCTATATTGTCTCGGATCTGGGGCTTTGTGGTACCGTCGTTGTATCCGATTTCCATAATACAAGTGCTTTAGCTACTTACTTTGGGATCAGAGCGACGTATGTGATGTTGTTTGATCTGGCCTCGTCTGGCCGTGTCTTATTTTACGAACTTGAATTTTTATACATATTTTGGAAATATTTTAGATTAATATTGGTTTTGAGTAATTTTATATTTCGCTCGATAAATATCGATACTGTTTGTGAAATCGAGACGATATATCTCGATATTTTAAGATTGCCCATCCCTATCATCTATTCTTGTTCCTGAACTATTCATGTACAGTCATTACACATGAAATATCTGACCCCCTAACATGCCCAAACCGACCTTTTGGTTCTGAGAGCCATGTTACGTATTGAACAAAGAAAAAATTAAAGCCATTTCAACTTTATCGTATAAGCAGTGGAGTGTTGCTTGAAGATGATCAACTTACTTTTAAAACCAATACTAAATTTCGTCACTTAATATTCAAGTAAATTGGTCCAGCTGTTTATTGTATGGACTGCCAATTACAATATCCGTGGTTCGATTCCACGAGCACAATTTTGTTTTAACGTTATATTTTTAACAGCATTGTTTCGCTTTTTAATGTTAACGTTGACAAATCACAATATTTGTTCACTAGAAATTGCCTAAAGTGGGTGGGAAGATGTTATTAATAAAGCGTAGGGTGGGTATGAATAGATTAACAAATCGCGAAATCGCTCTGCAGTATGCATACGATCGCTTTTTCTCCACATTTTTGTGCTCGTAACCAAAAGGTCGACATAGTCGGCTTGGGGGGTCAGGTATCTTGTGTATATGAGTATACTTTAATAACGCATAACATAGTGCAAAATGTCATAATGATAACTTACAAATCATATGACATGTAAATGGTCAGTTTGACTTTAAAGACATGATTTGTATAGCCATACATCAAGCAGAGACAATTACTTGCTCAAATATGTATAGCACTGTAACCTTACCCTCAGTTGACATTATGTGAACACGTCCAGTTGTTGTGACGATCTATTTGGGAAGCCTTTATTCAGCAGTCTTTCGTCTGAAATTATGACTTTAAATGTTTTCTTAAAAATTCCGACTACATATGTATGTGTTTTTGATTTCCACAAAGCTTATTTGTACAAAATACTATTTTAAGTTGACCGCTACGTAAATCTTTGTCCACTTGAATGTCAAAGATCTCATCATTATAAAATATTACATAGTACCCTTTTAGTTTTTCTATCGACTGTACTTGTCTACAATCGTTATAATAATATAACCGTCATGTTTCTTGTCCCATCAAGGTCGTATGTAATAGGCACACATTAAATGACACGGTTAAATCTTTCAAAGCAACATCGTCTTACAATTTTATTGTGTTGTTTCTTCCTACTATTAGGTTTACTTACAGTAGGAAGAAGGCGATTTCGCAGCTGCTGCCACTGCCATCTATTAATTTTAATTAGAACGAACACGACACAAAGTTATCCACAGCGCACATAATACCAAGGAATGTGGTTGGGGTCTCGAGATATGCTATCATATTCGCTAGGTGGCATTAATATAAATTAAAATTATGTTTATTCGGTATGCCGCGCTAGCCGTTAGGCTATTTGGTAAAAACGAAAAATTGTACGTCTCTTCTTTTTGCTATTATTCGTACCTACATATTATTTCATTTTTAGAATTGTTATCTACATATTTATTGTTTAGGGGGATTACGCATTGAATCCACTAGTAATTTTGTACAATGAAGTATATTAAATCTATTATGGGTTTTGGAAAATTAGTAAGAAAAAATTTATGTGCGCACACAAAACCATTGAAATGTCCGTTCGCTCTTAACAGGCTCAATCGGCTTTTTCTCTCCGCACCTTACCCTTTTCGTGTGTTTACTCCGATACTTCAAGTAGGCGCGTATACAATAATATTTGTCATAATATCTGGCATTTTTTAACAAAATATACAGATATTCTTGACACAATAAATATGGTACGATTATTTAGTATTGCGAATAATCAACACTTCGGCTATTGAGCGAACTTGTGCTCAGCTTGCGTTCTTTTACCGCATGACGTAATAGCTTATGAAAGTGATTCGTATGATTTTTTTGTAATATTTATATAATTCTTTAATTGCGTTCGACATAAAAATACAAAATATGCCACTTTTGCCGTATGTTCTTTTGACAATAAACGTAAAATCTCAACAAAATATACTAACCACTTTAGCACATGTTACTCAATAAGTTTTTCTATTTAAGTTTTTTTTGAATTTGAATTTGAAATTTGAAAAAGCTGACATTCTTTAATTTTTCATTCAAATTATCGCCCTCGGTTTCCAGAGCTCGATTTTACTTGAGCCATGTAATGACATTAAGGCATGGCTTTATCTTCGATTCCGGAGATATTGAGGTGCTTTTATTTAACCGGAGATTAAAATGATTATGTCACACTATGACGGATTTACTTCAGAATGTGACGGAAATCTGTCATAGTGCGACATAATTAATGATTAAATGAACTTATCTGGACGTGAAGCTTTATCATAATTATACGAAGGTTTCGTCCGAAGAGATTAGCATATTTATATAAACAACACTAGTAGTACCGCGTAGCGGCCGCCACTTTCACACTACATTGAGGGTAAAAGGAGGGTAAAATAAAAATTGTTTTGACAGTACACCTCGTTTACTTGTTCACTGCTCGATCACGCCATTTCATTTAGTTCAGAGCGTTAATTAATTAGAAATATTTCACAATTAAGAAGCACTAAGGAACGTGATGATGACTAATGTATGACTAGGTAAAATTAGATTGTGCCCATGTGAGGGTGGGATGCTAATCTCTTCGGACGAAGCCTTCGTATACTTATGATAGAACTTCACGTACAGGTAAGTTCGTTTAATCATTAATTATACTCGGCTTCTTCCTCAAGATTAGCATATAAAAAACACTAGTAGACTTTTAGAGATAGTCGTATGTATATACTATCTATATACACATGGAGTATGAAGAAATATAGAGAATGAAATATTTTCATCAATAATCATCATCATTATCTCAAGATCTTATTTATTGTTGATTTGATACTAATAGAATAGAATATAATAGAATTATTTATTTTGGACCAAAATCCATAGTAATGTTAGTAATACAGTAAATTTTTCTTACGTACTAAGAAAACACCTTTAACTTTCACTTTACTAGTATTAATCAGTCGGAGTTACTGTTTATATGTATTATAGCAGTATATTTAACAAGAGTTACCTATAATAGCATGAGCGAAAGAATCATCGTTCGAGTTATCGTCAATCAAGGGTCTGTTGTAAAAACAGAAAAAGGTGTTGGAGTTAGATGACCAGCCAGCTGTATGACGGATAGTGCCGATACTGAGGCCTGCACGCCTTGCGGCGGAGGTGGCAGAGTGTCGTGCGCTATGCGCGCCGAACGCCGTTGCGTCCACACTACTGTCCT